GGGGGGGGGGGGGCTTATGTAGGTGCCCTGCTTTAAGGAAAATCGTGGTTAATTTATCCGGTAAGGCTGCATTGAGAAAAAATTATGGCAGTTAATAACAAAAAGCTGTCGGAGGGACAGATATGGCATATATAGATTATTGCATTGTACCATGTTTCATGACCGTCACATTTTTTCACATATTTGTCAATCATTAAAATTTTATAGTGCAGAATTGTACCTATAAAGTATATTTTAATATGGTTTCAATATGATTTTATAGCGCATGTACCCGTGATTGCCTCAAAATTGGTGCTTGTCTTAACAAAGATCTTTTTATTATTTAATCAATGTACAGTCTGAGTAAAATCACTACATGTTACACCATGTTACACCACATGTTACAGTACATGTTACACTAAAAGTTGTATATTTTATTATATATCCTCACATGTTACAACATGTTACACCTACCTTTAAAAAAATATATAGTTCCTTTTAAAAATATAGGTGTAACATGTAGTAACATGTCAAGAACTATAGTAAAGTATAGTAATTTTAGTGTAACATGTAGTGTAACATGATGTAACATGATGTAACTTATAGAGATTGAGATTTGTTCTAATCTATAATAGTTGAAAATGTGCATAGAGAACTAAAAACCTTAAAAATAAATTAATCCTAACATAATTTAAGACACAACCATACGATAAACGAGCAGAAATGTCTCTTATTAGTTTATTTATTCCAAACGAACTCAAGAAATCAAGCAGATATGTGTATTTTATGAAATTAAGTTCGCTTATTTTCCGCGAGCAAACACTAAGTAAAACATTTTGAAAAGGGTGTTAAAAGTACAGGACTCTATGGTGAAGCTAATTTTAAATTTACTATACATTACAAAGTATAAAAACATCTAGAATCGTTATGCTTGTGATGTTTTTCTTAGTGTATATCCACACCGGGTAAGTTTAAAAAATATGCCTGGCCACGGTGGCAATCGAACCTATGACCTTCGGAATACTAGCCCAATGTCCTTCCAACTGAGCTACACGGTCTGGTCGCTTCGAGTGTGTGATATTTCGGAACAGAATCTAGTTCCTTCGATATTAATGTAATTTAGTAATCATGAAATATCACATACTCGGACCGACCTGACCGCGTAGCTCAGTTGGAAGTGCATTGGGCTAGTTTTCAAAAGGTCGTAGGTTCGATTCCCACCGTTGCCCGGCATATTTTTCAAGCCTGCCCGGTGTGGATATACACTCAGAGTAACGTCACAAACATCATATTCACCTGAGTACATTACACCAACACAGAAAAAATCTAGAATCGTGTCCAAATTCAACGAAACTGCAAGATAACCCGAGCTATGGGCAGTAATATATACACCTATTTTCTGAAATCCTACCATCGCAAGTCACCCCCCCCCCGAATTTTTTTTTTGGGTTTGTTACCACTAACATATGTGCCACTTGACTTTGATAACAACATAATAGAATGGAGAATTTTATGTGTTCAAAACATTTAATATCCTTCTTTTAAGGGTTTGCCTTAATTTAGAGACAATCCTGGAAAAAAATTTAGTAGACTTCTTAAATTTTCAAACTTTGTCCCCCCCCCCCTCTTATACAATGTTGGTATTTAGGTGACATGTGTTGGAAATCCACTTTACCAAAACCAACATTGTTTCTGGGGGGGGG